AAAATGGCCGAATGGCGGCCGTTTTTGTGCTAAAAAATCATAAAAATCAAGCATTTCTCGGCTGTTTACAGATGGATTTTGTTCAAACTTGATATATACATTAGACATTATGGGACCTTGATGCAAATAATTTTGTTTTTCAGATAACATTCAAAATGGCCGACTGACGGCCATTTTGTTTTAATGAATGGGCTTCTAGACCCATATTTCCAACTTGTTTTGACTGATTATGTTCAAATTTTAAATATTCATTATACATCATGTCATAGATAGACAGATATATTGGTTTGACGATCCTATTCAAAATGGCCGAATGGTTGTCATTTTGTGCTAAAAAATCATCAAATATCAAGCATTTATGGATGGATTTTGTTCAAACTTGGTACATACATTAGACATTACGGGTTCCTGATGCACGTCATTTTATTTTTCAGATTGGTTTCAAAATGGCTGACTGGTGGCCATTTTGTTTAAAAATTTTTAATATTCATTATACATCATGTCACAGATATACGGATATATTGGTTTGACGATCCTTTTCAAAGTGGCCTAATGGTCGCTATTTTTGTGCTAAAAAACTTGTTTTATTTTTTAGATCAGATTCTGCATGGCTGACTAGTGGCCATTTTGTTTTAATGAATGGGCTTCTAGAGCCATATCTCTGACATGCTTTGACTGACTATGTTCAAATTTTATATATTCATTATACATATATTCATAATGGCTGATTTTGTTTTAATTAATGCTGTTCCAGAGCAATACATTTGTATCTCTCAATACTCATTTGACGATCAGATACAAATGTCAATCATTTAAATGTTAAACAATCATTATATTCCTGACATGTTTATATTCCAGCTATATTACTATAAACAAAACTTTATATCTTAAATTTGATAACTAACGGGGACTGTGCCATGCATGGCTTGTCAAATAATATCTTCAGTTCTTTAATTGAAATGTACATCGCTAACAGTGGAGCTATCTCAGCCGACAGGCTGCTTGTTAAGTCTACCTAACAAATTTATGGTCAATAGCTGGCTGTGATTGTGTACGTTGACCATCATTCCTACATGTAGGTGTTGTTGTAGAGGTCTCAGACACCTCAGTAAAATGAAGCATACCACCCTATTTAAAATAGCAAAAGAAAACAAAATAAATTTATTGAGATTTAGTTCACTGGCACATGCACTCTTAAAATCATATTTTCCTCTGAAACCTTCTTGAAGACATTGATTTTTAATATAATACTTCTTTGGTTTGTATATCAATGATTTTGAGAGTAATTAGTTTAACCTTTAAATATACCATTTATTCTCCTACCTGTTGAATGTATGCATTTAAAATACTGAATAATAAGAATTAATTCATAGATTATGTTGTGATTGGTGAGATTTCGTCAGAATCACTGGCATCCACTCCTGACCCAGAAGTATGTTCATCTGATTCTGCCACTGCTGGTACCTGCACACCGAGTGATAACATATACAGAACTTATCCCCAATACCAATCACTACTAGATGTTGTATTTGGACACTGTGAGTGGCATCTTTGCTGTGTTACCGATAGTCTGGTCAATCTACTGGCTCACAAGGTATGTAAGCCTTTGATTTTCATCGTTTTTGTTACTAATACTTGCCAACAAACTTATAGATTGCTGAGGTGTTGACTTGGTTTTCATGACATTTCCGATCAATCAGGAATTTATGACAAAAAGTTATATGTATTTTAGTCAAAAAATAAACCTGTCAATCACTGTCACACTTGTCTGATGTTTATTTTTCTGCAGTTTAAAAAAAAATAATGTGTGTCGTTTTTTTTCAGCTCAATTTATTTTTCCAGCAAGGGTTGTCACTATTAGTAGAGCTGGACATGGAAGGGTATACTATAGAACGACGATTTGAACCACTGACAAAATTTCTGAAAAACTATCTGAGAGCGCTTTCCCAATGGCTGTATCCTGACAATTATGACAAAGTGTATTTGGTGTTGTGGTATTTCATTGTGCAGGTGAGTCTATGTTTGATTGTACGATTGTACACACTCATTGGAAATACAAAAAAATATCACCTTTTTTGTGCTCTGTTGTAATACTCAGTATATATAGAAGTAGTGGTGAATACAGGCATCTGCTAGACATAGGCTTTTGTAGTCAGATTCACTAGAAAGTACTAAAAAACGGTTATGATTCACCAGAAAGTACCGGTACCAAAAATAGTTATGATTCACCAGAAAGTACCGGTACCAAAAATAGTTATGATTCACCAGAAAGTACCGGTACCAAAAATAGTTATGATTCACCAGAAAGTACCGGTACCAAAAATAGTTATGATTCACCAGAAAGTACCGGTACCAAAAATAGTTATGATTCACCAGAAAGTACCGGTACCAAAAATAGTTATGATTCACCAGAAAGTACCGGTACCAAAAATAGTTATGATTCACCAGAAAGTATCAAAAATGGTAATTATTCTCCAACTCTATATGACATAACAGATCATTAAATTTCAAAACCTTTATCTACCACTGGTGAACACTGTCTTAGAATAATATAATATTTTTTACAGGATTTTGAAAATGAAGCCTATCAACTCCGAAGATTTGGTAATCGAGCTGAAGCTAAAGCCATGCTGTTGTTGCAAGCCCTGAGTGTGAGTTTTCTATAATTGTCTTGATTGTTCATATACTGAGGGACTGTCCACTACAGTTGTTGATGAAAAAAAGTCTAAAAGATATTTTAGATAAAATTTGTTGTCATGGTTACAAAGATGCATGTGCTCTAGTTTTAAACTCAATTTTGTGTAATTATCGATTTGTAATTGTTCATTCTTGTTATTTATATTCAGTACATGATAGAGTTCATCCATGATGGTGGTGATGGCTTGTCTATTGATCAGATCATACCTCCTGCAGTAAGTATGACACAGTGGAGAAGATTCTTCTTACTTAAAACTCTTTAAACATAAAAATTGTCTTTTATGACCATTCACAATAAAACTGCAAAATTGTTTACATACTGTTAACAAATCTTCATCAAAATCTGTGGCAGATAGTAAATTATATTCATTTCATCCAAAATTAACAAGAACTTTTAGAAAATGCAAGTTTTGGATCCATATTTTGGTGGGAAAAATTGAGGTGTTCAAAGGGTTAATAAAGTAAATTTAAAAAACTATAAAAATTCCATAAACTTTGACACTTACCACAGTGGTTCACATGTTAACACAATGCAAGACATGAGTGTTTCTTGTTTTTGAATTTTATTTTAAATACATTCAATTCAGATTATACATTATATACAAGTTGGCATCAAACATTTAAGTTATGCTTTACGCCCAGGATCCTGAACGCGGTAATTTTTTCTCAAAGACATATCCCCCTCAATCAGTAACATGGTGAGTTAAAAGTGTCATTTGCACTCGTTTCGGGGTGGGGGGTGGGGGTGCTTGGGTAAGCGCCCACCTCTAAAAAAATGATTTTCTGAGTTGAGGACCCTGGGAGCTAACACGGTTGAGTACAGTAGTAACAAAAAAAATGTGCAAAATATTTTTCCAACTGAAAAAATGTTGGTTCTCAAAAACTTAAAACCATTGTATTTATGTATATATATTTATAAACCTCATTGTTTTATCTCCATAGGAACATGTCATGCAGTTATTACAGTTATATAGTTGGTCAACCAAGAAACTCATTCATTTATATCGAAGACTTGTAGTCCAGGTAGGTTACATTTCAACTATAGAGGGCGCTGTCACTTTTATTCAACATACAGCTAGCTATAGAAAATATTTTATTTCTCTGTGTCACATGTCTCCCTCTAGTGTTGACTTTTGTGCTTATTTCCCATAATGTAGATTTTTCCAAGGTTTCTTTGAAATGTATTCTCCTTAGTTTAAATTAGTGTATTTTTGTATTGGCACCAATGGACGAAAACACTATAGAATGGATACAATAGATCTACCATATACTGTAAAATGACTAATTTTCACTGGGTTTAAATTTCGCTGATCATTTCAGGCATATTCAGTGGGTTTTAAATTCACGGTTTTATCATTTAGATAATGTGTTCTATGCTAAATTTTACATATTCACTGAGTTTTAATTTAGCACATTTTCCAGTCAGTATAATTACCCCCTTTACAGTAAATATATAATGGTGGCACGTACCTTGTGTTATAATTAGTGTTTTACTCTTTATTAGAGGATAAGGCTATTGTATTTGTTTTATTAGAAGTTTCTCCAATAGAAGCACACATAAACCAAAAAATGTCATTTAATGTATAAGAGATCATTAAACTATTATTTATTTTGGACCATAGACATATACATCCATAATTGGAGTAAGTGTTTGTACTAATAACGGAGCAAATATGGTGTTATCTTTGTGTTTTCAAGGTTTCATAATGTTGACACTAGAGGGCACTGTTGAATTTGATCACTGTCAGATGAGGTCCGAGTGACCATGAGAAATTTGCTAAAAACACATTTCTAGATAAGGGAAATGAGTCATTGAGTAAGTAAAAAAGATTTTTTTGCATTTGGCAATGGTTATTTATTCTAGGGTCGGTATTTGTGTACTGCCGATTTGTGGTGCTTTGGATAAAATGGCAATCAATATTGACAAGTGTTCATGGTGTTCTGAGATGCAAAGACACAAAATTGTGCTATCGTGCCCTGACTTTTTTTTTCTGCCAAAGGCTGTTTGGATATGACGTAAAACTATGATTCTCTCATTTTGTAGTCCCTGGGGTATACATTTATAGTAGATTTTATAACTATTAAATGTATTGGTTAAGTTTATTTTACCTATGCTGTATGGGCATTGATACCTGAGGCAGCATGGGGATTTTATATATTCAATTATTTTGGAATTGATGTATCAGCCGGGACAATCCTTGTGTTAATATAGTGACTAAAATAGTAAAAAATTACATTTCAGGAACATTTCCTGTTTACTTTCACTCCCTAAGTTATCCCTAAGTAAGATAAAAAAAACATCTAACTTGTGCTACAGCTTTAATCCTTAAGAATGACCCTGTAATTGAGATGACAGATTCGCATGAGAAAACTTGCTGAAATGTGACTTGCAAATCAAATTTTGTTGCCATGTCACTCTGTGTGCCACACCACTCTATGTTGAATGCCTGAATTTACACTGAAACACACATTTTTCTTTCGTCATTGTCAGCGAAAATCCAATTGATTGTACTTCACACAGTTTGTAATTTGAATAAATGTTCATCTGTTACAAGATGGTGGCTATTATTACCTCTGCATATTCGTGTTGATGAAATCACTGATAACTTAGTATGAATTTCCACTCAATGCAAGGAGTAAATCAATCAGGTTGTTTAATTTAAAATTGATTGGTAATATGAGATTGGTTTATCTGTGTTGTGTCCAAAAGAGTTTTCACAATATTGCTACAATCATGAGACTGTACATACAGTCATGTTTATTGACCTTGTCTTGAGGTCGTACATCATAGAGCGGAGAAAAGTACACTTACATGTAAAGTATGTTACTTGTTTTTAAATTTTGCTCAACATTAGTCTTACAATAATCACAATGCCTAGTATAAAGTGATTGCAAATTTTGTTTTGATTCCTCTAAGTAAAAAGTGAGTACAAAGTGAGCTTATTCTCTGTGTAAAAATGATTCAAATTCACAATGTATACAGCAGCTTGATGCATGACAATTTTATACTCGTGTTGTTACATTGTATTCCTAATGTATTTTAATACACTGGATATTTTGCATTAGCAATCAAAATAAAATATTTAAAATGATTATAAATATATATGAATCATCATAACTGCAATATTTGCATTGGGGAGAATTGTTACTTTTAGGAAGATTACTTTAATTATCTATTTTAACAATATTTTTGTCATGTTATTTTTGACCTCTGTTAGATGTGTTCTGTTTGTGATGATAACATGAGTTCTCTATATTTTTGGTAAAACTTAAAAACTGTCCTATTTGTTGTGATACTTAGTTGGGCCTCTATAAACTGTACTCAAATTTGAGAGGAATTGTTGGTCATGTGACCTCATCAAGATGCATGAATGAGATTCCTAGTTAGTTAGTTAGGTGGGTGTGTCCTTAGCAACAAGCAGTGGCAGATAAAATCATTTCAGAAATCATTCTTATACATTTATGCCTTACCTTGTGGATATTTGCTCTTGTTGTTTTTTTAAATTAATCTTATGTTTTGACCTCAGTGTGTCCGTGCATGCATCTGTGCGTGCTCCGGACCTGTATCTTAGAAATGCCTGGACCAATCACAATCAAACTTCACACATATATCATACATGATATTATACATATGCACATCAATTTGTTTCACGATCTGATTCAAGATGGCTGAATGGTGGCCATTTTTGTGCTAATAATCATCAAAATCAAGCATTTCTTGGCTGTTTACAGATGGATTTTGTTCAAACTTGGTATATACATTAGACATTAATGGGACCTTAATGCACATCATTTTGTTTTACGATCTGATTCAAGATGCCCGAATGGTGGCCATTTTTGTGCTAAAAAATCCTAAAAATCAAGCATTTCTCAGTTGTTTACCAATGGATTTTGTTCAAACTTGGTATATACATTAGACATTAATGGGACCTTAATGCAAATAATTTTGTTTTTCAGATAAGATTCAAAATGCCAGACTGGCGGCCATTTTATATTAATGAATGTGGTTCTCTTGCCATATCTCTGAATTGCTTTCACTGATTATGTCCAAATTTTAAATATTCATTATACATCATGTCATAGATAAACAGATATATTGGTTTGACGATCCTATTCAAAATGGCCGAATGGTGGTCATTTTTTGTGCTAAAAAATCATCAAATATCAAGCATTTCTGGCATTTATGGATGCATTTCGTTCAAACTTGGTACATACATTAGACATTACAGGTTCCTGATGCACGTCATTTTATTTTTCAGATTGGATTCAAAATGGCTGACTGGCGGCCATTTTGTTTTAATGATTGGGCTTCTAGAGCCATATCTCTTAAATGCTTTGATTGATTATATTCAAATTTTAGATATTCGTTGTACATCATGTTATATATATACATGTATTCAAAATGGCTGATTTTGAATGCTGTTCCAGAGCAATATCTCTCAATATGGACAAGTACTTGTTTGATGATCAGATACAAATGTCAATCATTTTAATGTTAAAAAATCATATTCCTGACATGGTTATATTCCAGCTATATTACTATAAACAAAACTATATATCTTAAATTTGATAACTAACGGGGACTGTGCCATGCATGGCTGTTCGCTTTTGTATTAACTACATAATTTACTTATTATTATTATTATTATTATTATTATTATTATTATTATTATTGAGTTGTTGCTGATCTGTTTTAACAAAATCATCATCACATTGTACATATTGGGCTAACATCATTATAGCATGGACTTCAATATAAAATTATCTCTACACAGTACTGTCTCAATCTCATTTAAATTAAATTAGTACTGATTAGAGTCAAAACAGTAGAATAAAACATATTTTGAAAACATGTTTAATTTCCTAAGCAATAGTAATACTACTTCAGCATCTTATTTATAAATCTGACAGTCAGCCGGACAAAGTATCTGTTTATTGTCATTCAGAATTTGTGAAATCAGGAAACAATAAATGCATACATGCAGCTGTGGCAAATCTTTGATATTGATATGTCTATAAGCGTCTTTCATTCCTCATCCACTCGGCTTTCTTTATCACTCTAAGTGAGTGCATTTATTGCTGCAATAAATTTATTCTCTCTATGGCCTTAGTCCCCAGGGAGATAATTGAAATGTAACACTGGAGGGAATGGAATTTCAGTATTGGAGATAAAATAGTCCTGTGTCTGTGGATAGTTTCATCTGAGTGACTGGTGCCAGGGACATGAAATTTGACAAAGCTATTCAGGATAGTGTTTAGGCAAAATTGGTTGCGTTACTTCTAAGTAGGGTCTTATCATGGTACTCACATTATTTACAAGTACTTTATAAATGTACACTGTTTACCCAGTCTGTGGTCTTGGATACATTTTGTATTTAATTGACATGTCATCCATGGCTTATCATTCGCATAGTGCTTGACAATCATGGCAATTCAATCACAAATATGGCCTTCCCTTAATAAAAATGATTCATTTTGGGACTATTATAATTTTGATGAGTTTCTTTTTTATGAACTTAACTATAGCCTGTTGACTTCTTTTTTTTCGTTGAATTTGGTATGTCTATGGAGCTTTCAGCAGGTGGGTTTCCCAATGTTTTCCAACAATGTTGTGAGCAGCCTGTTTATCACAGCTTGCTGTGAGCATCATAGTCATTGCACCATGTTGTGAGCAGCCTGTTTATCACAGCTTGCTGTGAGCATCATAGTCATTGCACCATGTTGTGAGCAGCCTGTTTATCACAGCTTGCTGTGAGCATCATAGTCATTGCACCATGTTGTGAGCAGCCTGTTTATCACAGCTTGCTGTGAGCATCATAGTAATCTAACTAAATTGAGAGCGTGGATCAAATCGCATTGTGATTGGCATAGGCATTACATCCTCACTGTTCAATATTGGTTCTGTACATAATTCAAACATGAACTGCTCAGATTCTTGATTAAAAACAAAATATCTGCACAATTAGATATTGTAAAAGATCATCTACAATATTTGCTATTTTCACTCTATTAGTGATGGAGTA